CCTCTGGGAAATTTAAGAGCGTGAGATTGGGGATCAAATTCTTGATATTCTCAAATCTTCTGTTTCCTATTTCAATCAGTTCTTAGTTTTGAGTAAAAGTAAAAAAGTAAAAAAAAAAAATCATGTCACATATCAAATAATGTTTTGCCCTAACATTATGCTAATTTACTCTTGGGAGAGAATTTCAGAGCATGGGTAGCAGTGTTTTATGGGGGGAGGATGGGAGCAAAATTTCAGTTGTGGTGCCCTGAGCTTGAATTTTCTTCAGAGAGCTGAAATAGCTACCATTACATCTGGTTAGTCTCAATAAAAGATGTGAAGATACATGGAATTTCATTTCATATATCGTCACACAAAATTAAAGTAATGACTAATTCATACACACCCTAGATGTGAGTGTAAGACGTTTTTGGTTTGCTTGCCCATTTTTGTGCCTAGCCAATACATAGTCAGTCTGGCATTGTGACTGTAAATAACAACAAAATAATCTTGCTCCTTTGCAGACCCAAAAAAGACTAAGAAAATAAAATGTGTCTCACATCCAGCCCTTGCCTCACAGAGCAACAAAGATGATTAGGGGACTGGAAGCAAAAACGTATAAAGCAGGGCTGTCAAACTGCAGGCCAGATGCGTTATGCGCTGGCCACACCCATGCCTGGTTTAGCGAAGGGGGCGAAAAGTCCCGATACGTCACGTGATGCTGCTGTGATGACATGAATTTAACACCCCTGATATAAAGGATGGTTGCTGGAATTGGGTATGACTAGCTTAGATTAAGTGTGAGATAAAATGGGAGGAGCTTTTGGGGGATCCTATGTGGGCCTCCTCCTGCTTCAACCCCTACGATCCATTGGTCTCTGAGAGATGAATTAAAACTTTGGTTGCATAAGCTCATTCTTTCATACCTAAATATAACTTGATTTAGTAATTAGAACATCTCACATGGAAATTCTGACCACCTTTACCAGCTAGGTTTTATTTCCTAATAGCTTTTTTTTCTGTTATTAGTACGTTTAACAAAAACATAAAGCTGCCATTTGCATGTTTACAATCTTTCTACATCTCCTTTGTTTCAGAATCAAAGTTAGATTTAAAAATTAATAACACTGTCTAAGATAACTCAGTTTTTGTGATTCCTTTGACATTATGGACAGATTTCCATCATGATAGTGTACATTGCACATCTAGTTCTGTTCAAAAATAATACATATAATTATGGCCAATGATTGATTCAAATTTTGAAAAGTACTTTTCTAAATGTCCAATGTAGCATATAGTTATAGTGTTTAAGGTTTAAGATTTGTCATTTCCTCAATTCTACCATTTTTTTCATATTTACAAGGAATCAGAATTATCCTAATTACCAGTAAGTCTTCTTTTATATGATTCCCCAATGCCATTCCAACAACTGAGGGATTTCTTTGAAACCCTGGGAACTAATAGAAGTACCATATACCAAATCTACCAAAATTACGATACTCAATAACACTAATTACTAATTAATTTATAATTAGATTATAAAGATTATTATTATTATGCATAATCATTTCAAATTGGTTAATATAATTTTTAAAAGATTGGAAAGTAATTTACAGATTGAAAGATACCAGTTGTTTTTAATAGTGTCATGTGCAATATATGAACTAGAAGTTGTGTTCACCAACACAACAGACTGCTAACCAAGTGGTTTACAATCCTATACCTTGCCCAACAACTCAGAGATGTAGGTTACATAGTAAGCGGAAGGTAATTGCAAGGAGTTGAAACATACTGTATAACCTTCATTATATTAATAGAAGACTTTATCTATAATATTGGCTATAAACCTTATGGGGCAACTAATATATCAGAATAGCATGTTCTCTTGTCTAGTTGAATAATAAATGGAGCTTTTGCCTTGAAGATGGTACAGTCATTCAGGCCACCCACACTTTCTTTCGTCTTTTTTTCCTTCCTCTTTTGAGGTCAACCCATTTTTCAACTGCGCTAAAATGGGAGGCAATATGTTGCCATTGTGTTGTAGAGAGAAAGAAATTACCTTTTCAGTTCCCAGGAATTGAATTGGAGGGATATCTTGTGATTACCTTTTCACAACTGGAATATAACTTCCTTTCCTTCCTCCATATACCGCTCCCTCTCTGTTCATGTCCAGGCTCACACATGTTTTCAGATCTGTGTACCTGGAATACATTCCCCAACACTTCAGCATGAGTGTTAGCAGAATGCAAAACAGATGGACTAGCAGTTGCCAATGTTATCTTCTGGCCAGCTCTGGCAAGTCTCTCTTCTCTCTCCTTTCTTGGCATGGCAGAAATATCTGCCTTTATTTAGGACAGCCTGTATTCCCTGCCATGCCACTTTTCCTCTGTTGCATTGTAGGCTAAATGCTATTTATTTGCTCGCTGCTGAGGCTGTAGGTGAGTGCAACAAACAATTTACATTTCCAAACTTGTTGGGTTTAAATTTATTTACCTTGCCTATTAAATATTTGGTCACAGTATCAGCCAAGTCATTTTTTTCCCCTAGAGAACACTCATCTTCACCCATCTCTGTAGATGTCTTAATATTTAGTCCCACAGTTTGCAAAATGCTTTACTTTTTAGGTTTAATTCTGTAAAAAAAAAGGTTAACTCTGATAAGTTCTGAAAATAAAATGATGATCCCAGCCTTTATTTTCCATTACAAAATTCTATTTTCTCTTAAAATAAATTTTGAAAAATAAATGCTTGTTTGTCTACTGGATTGAGATTATAAACTGAAGGAGTCAGAGTTTCTACAGATTGCAATTTCTTTCTTGAAAGTGACAAATTCAAACATTGAGTTGTTTTCACATTGTTACCGCTCATTTCAGTGGGCTTTCCATTGGATTTAATTGTTTTGGATGCTACCCAAAATATTTTTTTTCACTAATCTTGTCTTCTCGTGCCTTTGATTTTTTTAAAACAAAGGTTTATAGAAGGATTTTTTTTATTCATTTTATCCATTGTGAGCTGCAAAATAAATCATACAGGAAATCAAACTGGATTTAGCTATATTTATTTAAGTGTTTGTATTTCAGTCACTGTCGTTTAATGATTAGACTTCTTACACAGGCTTTTAATTCAATGCTATTAAATTTAGCATCATCTTAATATTGTATCTTCTGCCAAGGAAAGTGGCTAAGGGACCATCGATACAGCCAATATAAACAATTGGGGTGTGAAAGAGAAAAACATGAAACAATGTTTTGCCTTTTTACTTCCATGGAGATTTCTATTAACTGCTAGTTTGATTTTTTTAAAGTCTAAATGGCAAATTACGTTTACTAATTTTTCTCTATCCACAAAGATATCTTGATACAGTATTTTTCCAAAATCCTTATAAAATGTAGCACTTTTATACTACTAAGTTTGCAAAGCATGTAACATCATCCCTGACTAAACAACCTTCTCAGGTTTTTTTTTCTCAAATGTCAAATTTGATGATTCAGAGACTACAAGAAATTCAAACAATCCAACGTATTTAAGAATAAGTCACACAGTTAATTTCCAGACGTTGTGTGGAATATTAACCATGCTATTAAGGGTTATATGTGGTGCTTTGTAAATGCTTTCATTTTTACACAGACCTTACAGCTCATTAGGTTGCTTGCTGTGCGCATGTATCAAGTGTATAAGGGAAAAGATATAGGGAAAAGTCTATCTTGCTAGGCCACTTAATCTAGCAATATCATGAAAATATTGTGTAATCATGAGCTATATTCGGGAGTCAGAGAAGTTTCCAGTTTTGTAGGTGACTTTTAAAATTAATTAACATTCATGTACATCAAAGTACCTCCTTAAATGGCATATAAAATGTCTTCATGGCATGCTTACACACTACATCACCAAGAGTATTTAATCAAATGTATCTTACACCAGGTCTTAAATGTATTAACTTGGAAGTATTGCTGCTGTTTCGTTGTGAAACATGACTGAGTACAGGGATATAGTCATACTTGATTGCTTGTATTTAATTTTGCTAAAGGGACACCTTTTACTCAAGCAAGGGAGAAGATACAGGTGGTCCTCCAGTAGGTGAACAGTCATTTAGTGACCCTTCAGAGATACAACAGCAAAATACAACAAAGCAGTGACTTACGATGTTTTTTCAAATTTATGACCATTGCAGCATTCCCATGGTCATGTGACCAAAATTCAGATGCTTGGCAACTAGTTCATACTTATGACGGTTGCAGTACCTTGGGATTGTGTGATCAGCTTTTGCAACCTTCCAAAAAGCAAAGTCAATGGGGAAGCTAGATTCCCCTAAAAATTGTGTCACTAACTTAACAACTGCAGAGATTCCCTTAACAACAGTGGCAAGAAAAAACGTAAAATGGGGCAGAGCTCACTTCACAAAGGTCTGACTTAGCAACAGAAATTTTGGGCTCAATTGTGATGGTAAGTCGAGGATTACCTGTAGTTATAGCAAGCCAAATCACAGACAATTTTTTATTAAAAGCAATTCATTGGGAAAACTGGTGGAATATACCCTTGCATGTAGAATCCAAATTCTAATTGTGACGAACTGGATCTTTCTAATTTCCATGGGTTTATTTACAGTGTTTGGCCCATAGAATGGCAGTGCCAGGAAAATAAAATACAGTAAATATCAAATGTTAAAAGTGTTATGTAGCTGATCTTCATGAATGAATCATAATGCCAGCATTTCTCACTTAGTTATTGATGGACCCTCTTGTTAAGGCTATAATCTCTTTATACCAAGCATCAATCTTGTAGCGACAACACCACCTGAACTCAATTATAGAAGAGTTAAGGATAATGCTATCACACATTCTGGTTCGCTTTCAATAACGGGGAAAAAAAGATTCTCAAATTAAAGAAAGTTATCCAATCCTAAAATATATTTGTACATCTCAGTACTGAAAAATGTTATATTTGGTAGCTAGTATTTTTGCTGCTGTTGTTTTCTGCACCTATTTGACAACGTTTTTTTTTTTTCTTTTTACTCTATTACAGATCGGATTGAGAAGCATTCCACAATGCCAGATTCACCTGTGGATGTGAAGACACAATCCAGGCTGACCCCTCCAACAATGCCTCCTCCCCCAACTACCCAAGGAGCCCCAAGAACCAGTTCTTTCACACCCACAACATGTAAGGCAGAAACTTCATTGACCAATAGAAGTACATTCAATAAAGTGAATAAAATAAAACTATCCCCTAACAACTGCTGTTTTGTGAGTGAAGTTTACACATAAAGTAGTGAAATTCACTCACAACATGTAATTATACTTTTCTTCTATGTATGTTTCTGATAAGAAAAGTGAAGCTGCAGCAAACATCTTGATCTTTCTTCCGGCTTTCATGTTCTCATTTTGGATAGCAAGAGATAAGAGAAAAACTTTCTTTCTAAAACCAAGAGTCATAATATTAATTGAACTCTTAATTGTCCCCTCCACTATACAAATCTCCAGCATTGCTTATCCTTCTTTCCAACTCAATAGTTAAGACTATTGCTTGTTTGCAATGTAGCCTTCTGAACAAGAGTTGATGCTGATAGAGGAAAAAAAGGAATTTTTTTGACACCCAAATTAGCCATTTCCAATTTACTACACTTACTACATTGGTATATCTATCCGGCTGATTGTGATAGATTTAAAGCTCACTCGTTTTTAACAGCAGCTCAACAACTATTTAGATTGGAAAGTTGTGCCTCAGTTTGTAATAATTGTAACCCAACTTGTCTAACCACATAATGACAGGGATGCTATTATATATTTCTGTTTTTCCTGTTCTATTTCCAGGAGCATTGTTTCCCCACTGTCAGCAGCTGTCTGGTTTTATCCCTATTCTTAGAGTATATTGTGATAAGTAACATCTGTATACATGCTCAGATAGGAGCAGTGCCAGAAAAAAACCAACAAGCTGTACTTCCTCATATTTCCCTATATTAAGGGGAGGTTATTTAAAACTGAAAAGTATTGTTGTAACCTCAAAAAATAGAGATATTAAAAATATATGCAACATAAATTCTTTCAGATTAGAAGGGGAGGGTTGTGCGTGCATACACACGCACACACACAATAGCAAAAATAAAATTGCTACCTACAACCCAGGTCCTGGTAATCCAATCCAATCTCCTCTGTGAAAGTGCTTCAGACTGTATTTTTAAAAAGTGTAAAGTCTTCAATGAATTTGTTTCACCTTTTTATAACTTTTCAAAAGTCCAGCGCGATTATGGCAAGCCTGGGCTCATGACAGATCCTTTTTTCTTTTTTCAGTCACTTCCTGCAATGAATTTATAATCACAGAATTTTGCTTCATGGTATTGTTGTTCTACATTGTTATGAGATCAGCATCGTTAGAGTCTTATTTGCCTGGGTTTGAGTCTCTCAAAACACTCTCAGTCTGGAATATTTCATTATACATTAAAGAGGTCCTTATAAAAAAAATAATAATCACGTCCTGAAAATTGCCCAGTCAATTCATGCTAGAGAATGAAGCATGGTTTTGAAAACCTGCGCACTTTACATAATGTAACATGTGCAGGAATCAGGTTTTTATGGGTTTTTATGCATAGAGCCATACAATCAACACAATTGGGAATTTAATGAACTTGTGATTAGACAGCAAATGCATTTTTTTTAAAAGAAGCCTTTCTCTTTTACTCTTTCTCATGGAAGCCAAGAGAGAAAATTAAAAACATACAAGTTTTGAGTCACAGTTTTAAGGAATGTGCTGGGTTCCTTATTTTAAACCCACAAGATTTCAACGTTATGGAAACAGTAATTATTGATTCTAAAAGTCTTTTTGGATAAACTCCATAAGGATGTTGTTTTGAAAAAAGAATGGTAAATTTCCTAGGTATGCCATCTTAATCTTCTGGAAGAAAGGTCAACTTTCAATCTAATGAATACTTATGTATGTGGGTACATTTCAAAAAAAATGCTTACTTTGGTAATCAGGTTTTCATTCCATTAAAATGTATCATGTTCTCCTATTGAAGCCAACAGTTATAATTGCAAAACTATATGCATGCAGAGTTTTTCTCCTGAAAGACAATAGGAAGCTGTATATTTGCATACTATTTAAAATATAGTATAGAAAAATATAGTTATTCAATATTCTTTTTTATGATAAGATTAATGTGAGGGCTGAGAAAGAGCTGAGAGACTCATTTGAATTTTGAAAGCATGTTGGAAGAACCCTCAAAAAATAGCTGGGATTGATTGTTTGCAAAATGTCTACTATGATTGATGTGGTTTTGCAACTAATCCTCTGGTACCCCAATTTTAAATTAAAGTCAAGTAGGATAGGGAACTTATAAGTAATCACTCAAAGAATCCACAGGCCTGTTTCTGAGAATCTAATAAAAGAGAGCTATTGCCTAATACTTTTTTGAAATCTAAAGCATTTACTGCAATTTATCTACAGTATCTTTACTATTTAGGAAACCAACAAATTAGTGAACTAATGGGATAATAGAATTGGAAGAGACCTTGGAGGTCTTCTAATCCAACCCCCTACTCGGGCAGGAAACCCTATACCAGTTTGGATAAATGGTTGTCCAATTGCTTTAAACCATTGCATTTCACCATTGCTTATTTGTACAAAATGCTGCCTTCCAAACTCAAGTGCAGAAAACTATGACTTCCGGCACAGAGTTGTTAATGCCTGGAACACACTATCAGACTCTGTGGTCTCATCCCAAAACCCCCAAAACTTTAACCTAAAACTGTCTACTGTTGATCTCACCCCATTCCTAAGAGATCTGTAAGGGGCATGCATAAGAGAACCAGCATGCCTACCGTCACTTTCCTAATGTTCCCTTTAATTGTATTCATTTTATGTATTCAGTTAATGCTTATACTTACATATATTATCTAATATGTACGCGACAAAATAAATAAAATAAATAAATAAAAATGATAAATATTCTAACTTCGGGAAATACGAAGCTGACAACGTGTCTTTCTCGTCTTCTTTCCTTTTTTAGTAACTAATGGCACGAGCCATTCACCAACAGCTTTGAATGGGGCTCCTTCCCCACCAAATGGCTTTAGCAATGGCCCATCCTCCTCCTCCTCCTCGTCTTTGGCTAATCAGCAATTACCACCAGCTTGTGGAGCTCGGCAGCTTAGCAAACTGAAGAGATTTCTTACAACCTTACAGCAATTTGGCAATGACATTTCACCAGAGATTGGGGAGAGAGTGCGTACCCTTGTGCTAGGACTTGTGGTGAGTGAATTAAATTATTGAATGACTCTGGATTTCTTTCTTTCTTTCTCTTCAGACTTTCCTTGAAACCTCCCTTTTATTTATATACCTGACAAGAAGATAAGTGGTACTTACATTTTATTTATTTCATTTATACCCCAGCATTCTTCCAAGGGGCTCAAAGAAGTGTTTTTAGCCTGAACTATCCTGTTGAGGCAAGTAAGTCTTAATCATAATGATTTGCCCAATCTTTGAACCCTGTTTGAACCCTGGATTTCCATAATACTCTAAAAAAAAAAAATCTTCCTATCTCATGATTTTAGAACTAAGGACTATCCTGCATATAGTATGGTTGGAATTTTAGGATAGAGAAGGAAAGTACTTTATCACATACCACAGATTTAATTTACCGGCTTGTTAGCACAAGGTGATGGCCATTAAAAGGGGATCAGGTGTCTTCTTGGATCTTGGGAGCCGTGGGGGTGCAGTGGCTAGAATGCAGTATTGCAGGTTGACTCTGACTCTGCCCACTGCAAGGAGTTTGATCCAACTGGCTCAAGGTTAACTCAGCCTTCCATTCTTCTGAGGTCGATAAAATGAGGACCCAAATTCTTGGGGGCAATATGCTGATTCTGTAAACAGCTTAGAGAGTGCTGTAAAATACTATGAAGCAATATACAAGACTAAGTGTTATTGTCAGTGCTATAGTGCTATTGTCAGTGGTATAGAATTATTATAGGATTTGCAACCATTTCTGCTAGACTTCCAATCATATATGTTTTTTGTTTCCAGAATACTATGGTTGTGCCACCATGAAAGGAAAATAATGGATGTTATGGTCTGATTCAGCATACCTCCTATGTTTTTGCATTCCAACAGTAGTAGATATTGAGCTTATACTCTATTTAAATGAAGGAAGTGGGTTTATTAGTACTTTTATGTCTCAGCTACTCAAATTAAATATAGGTTTCAGCAGAGCCTTCACATATTTCTTAACTTGGATTGTGTATAAACAATGGAGAAGCATGAGGTACTCAGAGGGAATACAAGTAGTCCTCGACTTACAACAGATCTTTTATTTATTTTATTATTTATTTATTTATTGACTCTTTGAAGTTACAATGGCACTGAAAAAACTGACTGATGACCATTTTTCATACATATGACCATTACAGTATCTCCATGGTCATGTGATCAGACGCTTGGCAACTGGCTCATATATATGATGGTTGCAGTGTCCTAGAGTCATGTGATCACCTTTTGCGACTGACAAGCAAAGTCAGTGGGGAAGCCAGATTCACTTAACAACTGTGTTACTAACTTCACAACTGCAGTGATTCACTTAACCAACTGTGGCAACGAAGGTCATAAAATGGAACAAAACGCATTTAACAACTGTTTCACTTAGCAACAGAAATTTTATGCTCAATTGTGGTTGTAGGTTGAGGAGTTGAGGCCCACCTGTACTGAATGTAGCCTTCAACATGGCAGCTGCATCTCATTCTGAGTTTACAACTGATTAACACAAACACATTGCACTGTATGAATTGAATCTCCAAAAATCTTTATGGAAAACAATATTAAAAAGTCAATACATACTGAGTTATGGCTGGGCCATTATTTACTGTTTTGAAGCTTTGTACCAATAGTAGTATGAGTAGTAACTGTCATGCAGAGACAATTGACTATTAAATAGATGTTTCTGTTAGTTTGGTACTTTCCTCAAATATATTATCCCTGTTCTGTTTCTCATACATGAGGTACAAATATGACTGCATAAAGACATGCAGTTTCATTTAAATGAAACCAGACCGTTTTTTTCCGGAACTAATATAATCGTAAGGGTAATCTGAATTACAGAAATACAACAATAAAAATAGTGGTGGTATTTTTAATACTATATATTAATGTAATGTTTTTCGTGAGGTAAAGTGAATGCTACAACATTATTAATACAAAGCAGTTAAGAACATTTCTCTGTGTAAAATACTGCAAGCCTAATGTATATTGCCAAAACATTTCTATTATTCATTTTACAGAGTCAGATTTTTTTTTCATTCAACAGAACTCTACTTTGACAATTGAAGAATTTCATTCCAAACTGCAAGAAGCCACTAACTTCCCACTGCGACCTTTTGTCATCCCATTTTTGAAGGTATTGCACAGATCATTGATCTGGAAACTATTTTAAACCATATCATTGCTCGGTCACAGATGTGTATTATAGTTCTGCTTTTTAAGAGAGTGAGGAAAATGATTCTCATTTTTAAGGGCTCCATTCTTAGTGTAAGTGGAATAAACTCTTTTAGAATAATTATTTCCTATATATTCATAGCTAACTAGACAGAATTTGTCAGCTCTGTAATATCTATTTTCAGTGTTATAAAGCACAGTTATAAAATCATTTTTCAGTTATGCTACCTCATACTCTGTTCAATCCATTTTCTCCTATGTATGGTTGATTGACAGTGCCTCCTTCACCATGTATAGCTCAGTTGATCCAACTCTTGAACAGCTTGGTTTATTATCAATAGCAGTAAAAAATGAAATTGCCTAATAATGTTCCTGCTGTTTTAGTTACAAGGTTCAAGCTAAATTTCTAATACTCATATTTAAAAAGGTGGAAAACACCAGCGATAGATAGATAGATAGATAGATAGATAGATAGATAGATAGATAGATATCATTTCACCCATGATGTGATGACAACATAATGGCCTGGAAGCCCATACACAGGTAGTCCTCAACTTACAACAGTTCATTTAATGACCATACAAAGTTACAATGATACTGAAAAAAGTGATTTATCACCGTTGCTCACACTTACCACCATTGCAGCATCCCCTTGGTCACGTGATCAAAATTCAGAAACTTGGCAACTGACAATTCATATTTATGACAGTTGCAGTGTCCCAGGGTCATGTGATCACCTTTTGTAACTTTCTGACAAGCAAAGTCAGTGGGGAAACCAGATTCACTTAACAACCCTGTTATTAACTTCACAACTGCAGTGATTTACTTAAACCCTGTGGGAAGAAAAGTCATAAAACTCACTTAACAAATGTCTCGCTTAGCGAGATTTAGAAATTTGGGGCTCAGTTGTGGTCATAAATCGAGGACTACCTGTATATACTTTGAAAAGACTCTTCTCTGAAACAGTTGAACATTACAAAGTCCAATCAGAATGATCTGGAGGATACAGTGCTTTCATCAAAATAATGAAAACAGAACCTTACTGCACACTCCACCTTACAAATACTTGTACTGTACATGTCTATCACATCACAGCAAACACAAGGGGTAAAGCTTTTTGTCAGCAATATCTTTAATCCAGACAGTTAGGTTAGTGGTTTGGTGATTTGGCTCATAATATATTGCATGTATTGTGTCATCTGGCCAACAGAAAACCCCTTTTCAACCTCTTGCATTAGGAAACCAGATGTCTTGAGCTTTCCCTTCCCCCTTAGATATCCTGTCAGAATCACCAGCTTCCTACAGCAAGGAACTAGTGATCTGAAACAAAATCATTCAGCACAGTGAAAGCCTCATTACTTTCCACTTCCTTCAAGCAAACTTGGTCAAGATTTCTGTGAGGAAGGGCTCTTCAATAAATATCTCAGGAAACAATTTCAGGCTTTCCTCATATGTCACATTACTAAACGTGCCATTTGCAAAACGTTCACTATCTCATATTGAAATTCAGTTAGTGTCATATGGTGCCAAAAAAAAATGGAAAGCACTGGTTCTACCAAGTTTTTTATATATATATATATATATATATAAATGAATACAGCAAAAGATAAAACATGTAGACCACGGGTCATATGGTTTCCCTCAGTTACATGAAATAAGCAATGCTGATTTATTGGATTTTATTTTCCAGGGGAGGGGAGGGGATTGGAGCAGAAAATTTAAAGACCTCTTTTAAAAAAGCAAATATTCCCAAATCCCTAAAATGAAAAAGAGGTTAAGAAGTAAAGCCTGTTTACTACAGAAATATCTTGAAGTTTTGAATTCCCAGATTTTCCCTCAGGCATTGGATCTGCATGGTAATTGAGTCTAGTGTATAAAGCTGTTGTTGTTATTAGATTTTTTTTTTTTTTGCTTTTTTCCAATAGTGTATTGGGAACTTTGCTCAGTCGCATTGTATTATTTATATTTAAATTTGGGATATAGATATTTCAGCTATTGTTTTTACTTTTTTATTATCAGTTGTTGGCTTGTTCTTCAACAGTCGCTATTTATTAATTTCTCACCTTTACTGTTTTTTATAAATACCTCAAGGTGGTGAAAGCACATATTACTCCTTCTTCCTTCTATTTTTGCCACAACAAAAACCCTGTGAGGTGGATTGGGCTGAGAGACCAAGGTCGCCCAGCTGGCTTTCATGGCTAAGACAAGACTTGAACTCACAATTTCCGGCTTTCTAGCCTAGTGCCTTAACCACTAGACCAAACTCATTCTCTATGTTCTCAATTTTCTTTTTTTTATGGCTCGACTATATTGAGACGGGCAGCCACTTAAACCATTTAAATAAAATAAGTAATCATCCATAGACTTTGTAGCTCCTAGCTAAAATAAAATCAACAATATTGCCTTCCCCAGTCCCAATTCATTATATATAAATTATGAGGTGGCAGTTCCAAAGGAGCTTTTTCAAGAGGCAACTGGACTTTCTTGTTTTTCTTTGAAGATGTTTCACTTCTCATCCAAGAAGCTTCTTCAGCTCTGAGGTGAAGAAGCTTCTTGGATAAGAAGTGAAACGTCTTCAAAGAAAAACCAGAAAGTCCAGTTGCCTCTTGAAAAAGCACCTTTGGGACAAACCATGACCTGAATTACTGAGAATTTCCAGACATATGAGGTGGCAGAATATAAAGGAAATTACAATGTATTACTGATTGTTGTGTGATAAAACTTAGTATTTTACTGTAATATTGTAATGCATATGAAGCTTGGATGAATCTAGAATTATTTAATCAGAACAAATCTTCTGCAAATAAAAAAAAATTACCCATAAAACATAAACTTAAATTTCAATTCAAAAGCAACTTCTATCATTTTAAATATCCACAGGACAAATACTTGTTATACATTGTTAATTATCCACTTGCTGTACAATGTTTTTATTCAGTTGTTTAACAAGACGAGTGGGGAGGGAGAAACATTCAGTTACAATTCTCACATCGCATGAGATTTTATTTTTCTGTGTGTCTTTAAGACGGAGAAGTATTTCAGTGTTACATTTCATCATATCTAAATATTATCATGGTGAAGTAAACAGCTTTAAAAAAGGAATACAAAAGAGAATAAGTGGGGGAATACTTCTAGACCTTTCCATCATTGCTTCACACCATATGGTTGTCATATCATTTATTTGGGATCACTAGAATCAAAGATGCAACTTCTCTTTTCTTCTTCTAATTTTAGTGCTTTTCCTCAAAGGAGACATTAATGACAAAAACCATATGGTTGTGGGAACACGGGCCTTAATAAGTGCATTGAAATGCTGCTGTAACAATATGCATTAAAGTCTTGTTTTCATTAAGCTAATGTAACTCACAGACCCTCAGTTCCATTTTGCATTTATGGAGAAACATTTACTGGAAGGATATTAGACACCGTTCTAATTACCTAATCTGGCACCAGAATTAGAGCAAGCAAAATTGCTTTGCATTACCATATTTAAAAAAAAAAATTGGCAAAAGATGTTTATGGAGTCAGTAAATTAAACAGAGTACTGAGGGAAAGAGTGCATGTATTATGTCATTTGTATGTATACATTTGTTAATGGTCATGTATATGTCTCTCATTACTTATTTGCTTATGTAGCTATGCATATTTAATCTATCAATTATAGCATAATTTAATATATTCCCCAATCCCAATAGATATTTTCAGTACAAATTTCTCTAATTATAGGTTCTTTTTTCTTATTAATAAATATTAATTTAAAACAAGTTTTCAGCAATTCTTTGCGAATGTGCTTGATTTAATTCAATTTTAATAAAATATTAGAAGCTTACGGATCTCATCATTCCATTGCAAAGCTTGTTTATATTTTGTGACCAGGATTTCTTTTTTCAAACACATATTAATTCCCTTTCTGGGGATGAGCCAAAAAAGCCTGGCCAAAAACATCTGCATGCAAGATGTCTAGCACATGATATCATTTTCCTAAATACCATTTGGGAATGATATTTAAAGACTGCATAGATGCATCCGTATGCAAGGCTGAAAACACTGCCTACATAATGCTAGGAAGAAAACTTTGGTACAGATGGGAAGAGGATAGCAAGTAGATACAAGTGGGCTTTTAGATATATGTCCATATACTAATATGAGTTCTACCTATGCTATTTCAAAATAAAAACTTCAGAAAACTTCATGAAATTAATATTAATTTATAATCCTGTTTCATGTATCTGGTAGAAGGAATAGAACTTTTAATGCCTGTGAGAAGATAAATGTCGAAGCTTCCAATATGGGCACAAATAAGGAATGCACATGATGAAAAAACCACCCAGAAGTTTTCTTGTTCACGTTTATACACTCATGTATGCAAGCTTCTTTGGCTCAGAAAAACGTCTTTTTTAAAAAAAAGTTACTTATAAAAGTAGATCTCTAGAATGAGTTAGCGTAGGAGAATACAACATATGATGGATTCTGCAGCAAACAATCACCTTTTCAACAAGCTGCAAAACACGCTTGCTGAAATTTATCACATGGTACCTATTGCAGACAACTCACATCATATCACATTCAGAACAAAACATGAACATTAACAGGAAGGGACCTTGGAGGTCCTCTGGTCTAACCCCCTGCTCAAGCAGTTGTTTAAATTTTCCTGCAAATTCCAAGTTTCACGAGACAATTCTTGATTTGGAAGTGTGTGCTAATGAAGTTTCATAGCAGACAGAAAATTATAGAAGCTCTGAGAATCTTTTAAGATCACAGGGAAAGTTTTACTTGCCTTTAGGAACTCTCTCTCTCCCTTTCTTTTTCCCTCCCTCCCTCCTTTTCTCTCTCTCTCCCCTCTTTCTCATTCCTCTCTCTCCCCCTCCCTCTCTCTCTCTCTCTCTTTCCCCTCCCTCCCCCTCTCTCTTCTCTCTCTCATTCCTCTCTCTCCCCTCCCTCTCTTTTCCCTCCCTCTCTCTCTTTCCTCTCTCCCCTCCCTCTCTCTCCTCCCCCTCTCTCTCCCCTCACTCACTCCCCCTCCCTTTCTCTCCTCCCTCCTCCCTCCCTCTCTCACTCATTTCTCTCTCTTTCCCCTCCCTCGCTCTCCCCCTCCCTCCCTCTCTCTCTCCTCTGTTTGTGTGTGTGTGTGTTCGTGCATGCGTACATATCTTTCTTTCCTCTCCTATCATCCTGTTCTGTCAAAGAGACCTTCACAACCCCCAAGCACACTGCAGTGCTTTTCCCTATTTCTGCCTGAGGCTGTACACAGCAGCTGGAGAAGGGCCAGATGGTCACAGAGGAGAGAGATGTTTGTTGTTCAGTATTGCAAAGCATATGATAGTTTTTCTTAGCCAGGAAAGTTCTTTCTCCTCTTTCTAGAAAAGCCCCATTCAAAGCTTTGTATTATTGGCAAAGTTACCAAATCATTGTTTGTTGACACCATAACTATGTTTCAGTTTTGATACAATTTTTTCCCCCAATGTTATCAATATTTAACACTGGAGTAAAAGGTGATGACTTCAGCCTTTTCTGATGTGTTGAGATTAGACATTGCAGAATTTCTAGTCTACATAGACAAGTCATGCGGGAAGTGATGTTCCACCTTTTTGTAATTTGAGAAAAACGGCCTTACATTCCATTTTTATCTATATATTTGTGACAGAGCTAACTGCTCACGGATATATGTCATAAGCTCCCAATACCTCCGGTATTTCGCTGTGCACTCAAGACCCTGTTGTTCCGCCAGGCCAGGCTATCAACATAATAATTTTAAATTGGGTGTTTTAAATTTCTGGGGTTTTAAATTGAGCCGAATTATTTAATAATTTTAAATTATTTTAATTGATGTTTGTCTTGTGCTTTTAATAGGCTGTACACCGCCCTGAGTCCTTCGGGAGAAGGGCGGTATAGAATTAAAATTATTATTATTATTATTATTATTATTATTATTATTATTATTATTATTATTATTTTCTCCCAGGCCAATTTGCCCCTGCTACAGCGGGAGCTCCTACATTGTGCAAGGCTGGCCAAGCAAAATCCCGCCCAGTACCTCGCTCAGCATGAGCAGCTGCTTCTGGATGCCAGCACCACCTCACCTGTTGACTCCTCAGAGCTGCTTCTCGATGTGAACGAAAACGGGAAGAGGCGAACTCCAGACAGGTAAACCTTTATGAGCATTTCTTCCAGGTAAACTGCCTTTGCAATGTTTTATTTTGCCAATGTTTGTCTCAACAGTATGCCTTCTTGTCCCTGCACAAATACCACAGATCTCCATCATCCAGCAAAAAGCATGGAACTTCTTTCTGTGTGTAAGGATGGATGGATGAGCATAAGCAAAGTAGACTGATGGATGGATGGGAATGGAATGTGTTACTTTAGTTTTGGCCTGGCATAACACTGGCATACAGTAAAGAAAAGCTACAATCGGAAGTGTAAAAAAGCACAGGGAACTTTTTATCACGTTTGGTGGCTCTGCCCAGAAATTAAGAAATATTGGAACAAGATAAAAACATGGATAGCAGAAATAACAGATTATGAAATTGAATTAGAACCCAAAATTTTTTTATTAGGTATGATCAAAAAGAACATTAGGAATGACATAAAATATTTAATACTAATAATGGCGGCTAGACTAGCAGTAGCACAACTTTGAAAAACTAATAGATTGCCAACTGATCAGGAGCTAATACAAAAGATATACACATGCGCAGAAATGGACAAATTAACCTTAGAGTTACAGGAAGATTCAAAATATTTCACAATATGGAATAGATGGTACCAGTGGATAAATCAGAGAAGGCCAAATGGGTTGAGATGAAATTGCTGAACGCACTGTAAGCCGCCCTGAGTCTCCGGAGAAGGGCGGCATATAAATCAAATTAAAAAAAAAAAAAATTTAGAGGAAATTAACATAATTGAAAAAAATGCACTGTCAGATAGTTAGAAAATGAAATATCTCACTGTAGGTTTGTATATATGTATAATATAATAATAGAAATTAGTTAGTAGTTGAAGTCGTTTATTGTGTATGTATATGTAAAATTGTTTCTTGATTAAGTTAACTTTTAACTTAACCAAGCTTTTGTATGTTTTGTATGTTTTAAATGTTTTTTTTTAAGAATGAATAAAGTTTTGCTTTTTAAAAAAAAAAAAGAGAGAGAGAGATCCTCGAAAAGAGAAGTGAGAAATTTGAAGAAGGAAAAGAAATATATGTATGAATATATTTGGTGTATGAATATGCTGGTTTGTAAGTCTAGAAAGATGTAGAAAGATAATAAATGATGTTGGTATAAAAAAGAAAAAAAGAAAAAAAGAAAAGCTACAGTCAGAAAACGTAGCCCTTGGAGTGAAACTACCCATCCTACCTGTATTGGGCAGAAGGGATTTCAATGCATTGAGTCGCTTTGACTGCTGTTTCAAAATATTTAAAGAGAAAATGAGAAAATGTAAAGAGAAAATGAGGGTCTGTTACACCATCTTTATTGGACACACATGGATAGAAAAATGTGTTGCACAAAGGGAAGTGGATTTTGATTTAGCAAAATTTTTATAGATTACGAAGCAATTTATAGTAATGGCACAGTTACCCCACAGTTTATACATTGGAAAACTAATCTAACAGTGAAATGTAGAATTATTATTGAACTCAACTGTAGTTTATATATTATTTGCAAATTATGTAAACATACTGGATGTGATTTAATTTGCAGTGAACACAGTTTTCACACTGAAGAATGCTTATACTCTAAAAAAGATCCACTTCTTTACTTCCAATGTTTTCATTTAGTCCATTAGAATATATGCAACTTGAACTACCCAGAATGTGGGGGGAAGTATACAGAATTTGTCAAAATATCTCACAGTAACGTAATTATTAACTACTAAGATTCCTATGCATTCCTTATTGGCCTGCACATGATTGCCATATTTGACATATTTGGATAAATGTGCTGAATATATTGAAATCCCAGATCTTGCACATGTAATAAGCTAAATGTAATAAGGGTCTCAAAGTTGCAGCCTTGTATAAAATATATTGAATGACCATCTGCTGGGTGGCCCATAGACAGTATTCCAAGAAGAAGAGCAGCAAGGAAAAATGACCTGTTGGCTGGTTTTGGGTCACCACAGCATGTCTCCTAGCCACAGTAAGATATGGTTGGCTGGGCTACACAGGGGTGCCCTTCAGAAATTCCGATTAGTTCTCCAGTCCATGGCAGGTTGTGCTTTGGGGGCAATGCCACCCTTTTTGATCAGGGTGGCAGGGAAACAACACTTCTCTAAAGAAGACAGGCCAGGAAGGTTGAGCTGCATGAAAGAGAGAAGAAGGAAGTAGTCAAAGAGAAAGGAAGCTCTGGCCTCCAAGTCTCTTTGTTAGGGAGGGGTGGGAAAGACAATAGAAAGCAAGAACTCTAGGCAGGCAGGCAGGCAGGCAGGCAGGCAGGCAGGCAGGCAGGCAGGAAGGAAGGAAGGAAGGAAGGAAGGAAGGAAGGAAGGAAGGAAAAAGATGGAAAAGAAAAAGAAAAAAGATTGCGGGCAGCTGTTAGTTAAATACCATTTCAGTAGCAAAAATGAAATTGTGTTTAATTAGTGAAATATTTTGATTATTAGATTTGCATGCTTCTAAATCCTTCTAGACTTCCAGTGGCTTACAGTAGTGCATATCATGCAAAGTTCAGCAAGTCCCTGGGTTAACAACACCCCAGTTTAAGGAAAACTCGTAGTTTAAAAAGGAGCCTATCGTAGCAAAGTTTGTGTTAAATACACAATGATTCAAGTTAAATACACAATGGTTCAAATTCATTATACAATACTACTTATACAATAATACTGTTTCATCTTACATACAATTTAATTGAAGGACAGACCTTGGGAACAGAACTCATTATTAAACTGAGGACTACCTGTAATAAAATACCATGGTAACCTGAACAAAATCCATATAAAATATAGAGTATACTAAGAAAATCAATAATAATAATAATGCAATATAAATTTATTTTACAAATTTATTGCTCGAGGTCTTACAAGATAATCATAGCAAAGACCGTGTTCAGCAAAGAAACTGAACAAACTCCATCAGAAATACTTCTCTCACAGTATGCCAGATTCCAAAGGATTTCAAATTGAAAAAAAAAAAAAAAGACATTTGAGCCATTTTTACATTTTCAAAGGAGAAGAATATACAGATAATAAAACCTAGAATTTGATACAGTCACCATCATTAGCATTATAGGTAGTCTTTGACTTACAATCAATCATTTAATGACCAAAATTACAACAGCCTTTGAAAAGGTCTGTAAAGCACTTCCGGCCATAATACTCCAAAATGTTTCACCACAACCCCCCTCCACAGTCATGTGATTGCACTCTGGATGCTTATGATTGGTTGCCAAGCATCCAAAATCATGTGATCATCATTTGCAACCTTCTCCGCTAGCTTCTCCAGAAAATCAATGGGAAAGCTGGCAGGAAAGGTTGCAACCTGTTGCTGCCTGCCTCTTGTCTCTGTGGGTGGCTGAAAGAGACGGCTACTGAAGGGAGCTGAATTCCCCAATGGGATAGATAAAGGGACCTCAGATCCAGAACATGGAACATATTTCTTCTGTGCCTGGAGATAAGATGATTTCATCTGGGGAGATGGAGAAACAGAGCTTAGCTCCTGAAGATCTGAGCTCCATTCCTGCAGCTTGCCAAAGTGGTTCTTTTCTACCTATGGAGTGGAGCTGAAGTTAGCAGGCAATTTGTTGTTGTATCCACTTAATGATCCAGGCAATCACTTTACAACCACAACTGGAAATACCAGGATTGTGGTTCTTGAGCAAAACAGTCACAATGGCATCTTACTTTATGCCCACTTTACTCAATGATTGAGATTTTGGTCTCAATTGCAGTCACAAGTCAGGGACTATCATGCCTTTTCTATCTTGGCTGTAAGGTCAAATAGAGAAAATAAAAAAATTAGAATGGATACTGAAGTTAAAAATGCCCATATCATATCGGTATTTTTGAAATTGCTGAAATGCTGTTTTTTGAACTATCAGTTCTAGCTCCAGGCTACTTTGGAAGGGCAGTTTGGCCTATATGAAACTTTTTGCAGAGAATCCTACTGTGATTTTCATCATGAATAGAAGTAAATTTGGCATCCTGAAGTAAGTTTTTACCAGCTACTTGCTTTCAAAAAAGCTCCTATTCTTCTGGAAGCAATGTTAAGAGCATTTTAAGACAGGAATTTTATTCAAATTTTTGGCTGAGGCTGGATTTAGTTTGGCTTTGTTTTATTTTTTGGCAATTTAATACGTTATAAACACAAAGTATTTTTAAGTGGACCCATATTTAATAATTACTCAATTTACATTCCCCATTTACATTTGTCACATTACATGCTATCTCTTCTAAAATAGAAGAGAAACGCTGCATTTCTTGTTTTTATTTTGATCTATGCACCCTCCTACCTTAATTACTTGAACAATAGCAATAGCACTTGGACTTAGATACCACTTCACAGTGCTTTAAAGGCCTTTCTGAGCAGTTTACAGAGTCAGCATATTGCCCCCAACAATCTGGATCCTCATTTTACTGACCTTGGAAGGATGGAAGGCCAAGTCAGCCTTAAGCCGGTCAGAATCGAACTCCTGGCAGTCTGCAGAACTACCCTGCCATACTGCAAATATATACAACTTCTGCCTGCCTTCCTTTCCTTTCCTTCTTTCCTTTCCTTTCCTTTCCTTTCCTTTCCTTTGCTTTGCTTTCCTTTCCTTTCCTTTCCTTTCCTTTCCTTTCCTTTCCTTCTTTCCTTTCCTTTCCTTTCCTTTCCTTTCCTTTCCTTTTTTCCTTTCCTTTCCTTTCCTTCTTTTCCTTTCCTTTCCTTTCCTTTCCTTTGCTTTCCTTTCCTTTCCTTTGCTTTCCTTTCCTTTCCTTTCCTTTCCTTTCCTTTCCTTCTTTTCCTTTCCTTTCCTTTCCTTCTTTTCCTTTCCTTTCCTTTCCTTTCCTTTGCTTTCCTTTGCTTTCCTTTCCTTTCCTTTCCTTTCCTTTCCTTCCTTCCTTTCTTTCTTTCTTTCTCACCTTGTCTGCATATTAATTTTCTACCTCTTGCTTTTATATCTATATGCCCAGTTCTGCTGTATGCAAAGTTTTATGAAACACTGACAGCAGAACTCTCAGTGAATGTTTTCTTGGTGCATATGGTCTGACATGGATGAGCAGCCACGGTGAGATTTTGGAGTCTATTAAATGAGCTCATTAAAAAGATCAATCTGTTTCTGTAATAACACTGGAAGCCATCAGTCACTGAATGAGAGAAGAGAATGACACCTGAGGAGACAACACATTTTTAATAATTTTGCGTGGTATATCAGAAACAAAGTGAGAAATGGATATAGATATATGTATGTGTGCATATAAATTTGTATATGTATATATACAATTCTTTTTTCAATCCGTACAGAAAATGTGTATGTTTTCTAAAAAGAAGAGCTCATATTTGTGCATTTAAAAAAAAAACTCTATTCATTTATATACAGCATCTTTTATTAAATGCCATATACTTTTGTTCTGAAGGGGATCCTGATCTCTTTAGCTATCATTAGGAGGAATTATTTTGGTTTTGAGTTTTTGGATCTAGATTATATTGCATTAGTTTTTAATATAATTAAAGTGACTATCACCACACTTAATTTCTTAGTTAGAAATTAATACATAGGAGCAGTTACTTTGGCATTGTGGACCACAGTTCATCGCTCTTTTACATAACTTCCAATCTTGTGAGTGATTCTATTCTACTCATCTTCCATAGTGAACAATAGTTGCACCTGACTATTCTTTTTCCTCATATCTGTTTTTTCACCCCTATCTCAAAGCCCAGCCAGTAGCTAATAACCTCTTTTCCCCTTGCATTTTTTAAAACTTTTGTTCTTTGTAATGGAAATTGTGCATGTCGCATTTTTGATCTTCAACTTGTAAGCCACCAAGTTTCACCTTGTAGGAGACACAGGTAGCACAAAAATTGAATAAATAAAATAAATACTGGTAACCTAGTATGTGCTCAGGAACCTGCAAGGCTTGTATTATTTGCAGATAGTCTCAGGTTCAGTCAAGGAAAAATTATTGAGAACTGTTCTTATCTATAGTTGCCACACTTAAGCCCCTGAATGCTACTAATAATGAATTATTTCTCTCGCCCCCACTTCTCCCAGCATACAATAATAAGGTGTGTCACGTAACGGGGTGAGCTCCCCTTACTTGTCCCAGCTTCTGCCAACCTAGCAGTTCAAAAGCACGTAAAAATGCAAGTTGAAAAATAGGGATCACTTTGGTGGGAAGATAACAGCATTCCATGTGCCTTTGGCGTTTAGTCTTGCCAGCCACATGACCACGGAGACGTCTTTGGACAGCGCTGGCTCTTCGGCTTTGAAATGGAGATGAGCACCACCCCCTAGAGTTGGGAACGACTAGCACATATGTGCGAGGGGAACCTATACATACATACATACATATATATATATGTATATATTATATATATGTGTGTGTGTGTGTGTGTGTATATATATGTGTGTGTGTGTGTATATATATATATATATATATATATATATATTATATATATATATATATGTTTTCTCAGGTTTTCGCGGGTGTTTGTATGTAGGTCTTTGGTTATTCAGGTCTTCTCCCACGTAAAATTGGAAGTGTCTTGGCGACGTTTCGACGAAGTCTCATTCGTCATCTTCAGGCTGGTGTTCTCGGCTTCGTGCTTCCAGGAGCAAATGTTGCTCCTGGAAGCACGAAGCCGAGAACACCAGCCTGAAGAAACATCCATCATTGCTCAGAAAGAAAGCAAAAACGTGGCTGATTATTATTGTGCCACAAATGGAGAGCCAATTTGCCAGGCTAAAAACCAGGATACAGTGAGTTCTAATCATATCTTATGCATGAAAATCAGCTATGTGTCTTTGGACCAGTCATTCTTTCTCAGCCCAAGCCACCTCACAAGGTTGTAGTTGTGGGGAAAATAGAGGAAGGACTATTAGTTCACTGGCCTGAGTTATTTATAAAAATAATAACAGCAGGATATAAAGGACTAAATAAATAGAAGAAGGGAACTTCAGGGTAGATGAATAAAGAATTATATAACACTTTAAAATTACTTATGAAGGCAGATATATAGTTTAAAATTAAAATATATGCTTAAATAAATAGAAGATCTCAAAATGAAATGAATTATATCGTGGGATACCAAAGAAATTAATGGAGGTGGTTAGAAATGCTAAATTCCATCTTTGAGAATTCTTGGATAACTGGCGATTAGAGAAGTTTAGAGAAAAGCAATGTTACCCTTACCTTTAAAAAGGAAAGGATGAGGGCCTGTACAATTTCAAACTTGTCAGCTTGATGTTTATACTGGCAAGGTTTTTAAGCAAATTACTGAAGAAAGTATTTGTGAACTTAACTATAATACTTATCAAGAGCCACCATTGGTTTATCTCAAGTCACGCCAGACCCTTCCTTTTTCGTTTTTAAACATTTACCAGTTGAATAAATTGGAGAAATGCCATGGATAAAATGAACCTTGAGTTCAGCAAAGCATTCAACGAAGATTCTCATGACATCATGGTGACATATGGACTAGGTGTGAATGGGAAAATGGGAAAAGGATCTAAGTCTTGTAAACCAGTTGTGATGCATCTGCTATAAAAGCAAATGCTATTTGGGATGTGTTAATAGGAGCATAGAATCCAGTTGATGGAAAGCAATTATCTCTTTTTTAAATAGGCCCCACTTGGAATACTGTATTTGATTCTGGGCATCACAAAACATCAACAAATGGTAAATAAAGAGAAGAACTACCCAAATGGTAAAGGGGAATGGAAACCAAATCCTAGAAGGAACTGGTTTTAGTTATCTAAAAGTTGTCATGTAAAGAGAGAACATGTCTTGTTATATGTTCTCTGTTGTCTGAGAAAACAGGACTAGAATCAAAAGTTGAAAATACAGAGAAGTTGATTTCAGCTAGATATTAGAAGGGATTTTATGTTGGTAAAAGAGGTCAACCAGGTGAATGGATTTCCTTATAAAGTAGCAATAGCACTATACCACTTAGACTTATATACCGCTTCACAGTGCTTTACAGCTCTCTCTAAGCAGTTTACAGAGTCAGTATATTGCCCCCAACAATCTGGGTCCTCATTTTACCAACCTTGGAAGGATGAATCAACCTTGAGCCTGGTGAGATTCAAACTGCCAAATTGCAGTCACCCGGCAGTCAGCAGAAGAAGCCTTTAATACTGCATTCTAACCACTGCGCCAAAGCGGCTCTTCCTAATACATTTAGTAGTACATTTCTTCATTGGCAGTCTTCATTCAGAGGCTGGATCTGTAAGAAATGGTTTAGTAGATCCTGCATCAAGTGAGGTATTGTAATAGATGACCTTCCAACTTCATGATTCTATTATTTTATTGAACCAATTTAAAATGGAATAGGAATACACAGCTCAAAACAGTCATTTAAATGTTAAGATTCAGATATGTTTCCCCACTTCTAAACTCTTGTCAAAAATATTTGCATTAAAGCTTTATACACCAATGCCAATTTTTCAGTTGGTTGCTCCACCTCTCCAAAACAATCCAATAAAATATACAGTTTTAACCTGTTATGACACTTTTCTTTCAACTTTATTTTTGCTTTGTCTGTCCCTCCATATTGAAGAAAAACCTCATTTCAACCTCTGCTTTAATTGCTACTATACAAACATAGATATTTTTCAAGTGGTCTTTGAGTATGGAGTTTCTAAAATGCATCTGTAAAATATTTGAAATGTAAATAGAAGACTATGCAGAATCCTGATTCCTTGATGTGCACTATGGATATAGAAATAAACAGATTTTTCCTGATTTGCCAAGATTTTTACATTAAAAATGATTATATAGGCAGTTTCTAGGTTAAGAATGTCCAACCTACAATGGACTGGTGGCTACTTTCTGCTGTGCAATTTTCTCATGCTTCCACTTACATTATAGCTGAGATGGGCAAGAGATATTAGAACTTTATTGATAAAGGCTGTAAATAACAGACTCATGAAAGCCCAATTGCATTTCCCTCCTCTTCCCTCCTATACCGGAGAAAATCAAAGCAAGACAAATGATGTAACAATGGTTTGAAGGTACTGAATAAGTGGCTTACACTAAACAGGCTCTCATGCAGGGTTAACAAAAAACCTAAATCAAAAGATACACCGAGCAAAAGAAGGCAAAAATAATAAGCCATTTGGTTAAAGTTACAAACGTAGGACTGCTACCTCTGTATGAGTTGTTTCTATTGTAAACCCTATTCATTCATTTATTCATATATACAATTTGTATTTGCCTTTCTTCCCACAGGGCACTCAACCTAAACTGAATATATTTTGAGTTGAATCTAAAATTAGTATCAGTAGTAAATAATCTACAGGTAGTCCTCAATTTACAACCACAGTTGAGCCCAGAATTTATGTTGCTCAGTGAAAAATGTGTTAATTGACCCATTTTATGACTTTTCTTGCCACATGAATCACAATTCATGAATCATGAATCATGTTAAATTAGTAATATAGTTGTCGAGTGAATCTGGTTTCCCCATTTATTTTGCTTGTCAAAAGGTTGCAAAAGGGGTCAAATGACCCCGGGACACTGCAACCGTCATAAATGTGAGTCAGTTTTCAAGGATCCCGAATATCAATTATGTGACCGTGGGGTTGCTGCAACGGTCATAAGTGTGGGAAAATAGTCATAAGTCACTTTTTTCAGTGCCGTTGTTACTATGAATGGTCACTAAGTGAACTGTTGTAAGTTAAGGATGCAGTTTTCTCAACCTGACACCCTCCACATAGGCTGGGACTATATCTCCCTATTTCTTGGGGGTGGGGGGCGCAGAGGAATTGAAGAAGGCAAAACAATCAAAGTTGTGCAGCATTTCCTTGTGGCTTGGAAAATGCCTTAATCGAATGTATGTATCTTTTTTTCCCCTAGAACCAAAGAAAATGGCTTTGACAGAGAGCCTTTGCACTCAGAGCATCCAAGCAAGCGGCCGTGCACTATTAGCCCGGGCCAGCGGTACAGTCCAAATAACAGCTTGTCTTACCAGCCTAATGGTCTGCCTCACCCTACTCCGCCTCCACCTCAGCATTACCGTTTGGATGATATGGCCATTGCCCACCACTACAGGGACTCATACAGACACCCCAACCACAGGGACCTCAGGGACAGAAACAGACCTATGGGTAAGCAAAGCTCTTCCTTCACTGGGGCTTCGGTCTCCATACATATCACCCTTCGGTTGTTATTTGAATCCCAGTGCTTGCCTGAAGATACCCATCCATGGTATATTGTTTTATTTAGCCACGGTGGCGCATTGGTTAGAGTTCAGTACTGCAGGCTACTTCTACTGACTGCCAGCTGCCTGCAATTTGGCAGTTCGAATCTCACCAGACTCAAGGTTGACTCAACTTTCCATCCTTGCGAGGTCGGTAAAATGAGGACCCAGATTATTGGGGGCAGTATGCTGACTCTGTAAACCGCTTAGAGAGGGCTGTAAAGCACTGTGAAGCGGTATATAAGTCTAAGTGCTATTGCTAAGTGCTATTTAGTTTCCTACTATGATTTTGATTGCTTATTTAATGTCCTATGAGTATCATTAAGTGTTGTGTCTTATGATTCATGATGAATGTATTTTTTAAGTACACTGAGAGCATATGCACTGAAGACAAATTCCTTGTTTGTCCAATCACACTTGGCCAATAAAGATTTCTATTCTATTCTATTCTATTCTATTCTATTCTATTCTATTCTATTCTATTTTCTATTCTATTCTATTCTATTCTATTCTATTCTATTCTATTCTATTCTGAATTGCATTGCATTGCATTGCATTGCATTGCATTGCATTGCATTGGCATTGCATTGCATTGCATTGCATTGCATTGCATTGCATTGCATTGCTTCCTTTTTTAGTGCATGGCTCATGAAATCAAGTGTGGGGCCTACGTGACCATACAAGTTTTCATATGTCAGTCAGTGTGCTAGTTATTGAGTAAACAACGAAGCTTTAGTCTGTGAGTTCTCATTATGTTGGACCATAATGCTGTTAGCCAGGAACGAGCCCTTTTCTACCCTAAGAAATGGAATACTTTTCTTACAGAAATAAAGAGGTCTTCGTCTTCATTTTGTACGATTATTTTCCTATTGTTTTGTAATGATTCTCTTATGGAGAAAGAAGAAAGAAGAAAAAGAAATCTATTTACTTGTTAGTGGATTATTTTGGTTTGCCTTTGTGGGATGTATTTCACTTTATATGTAAGCTGCTTGGAGTAGATAAAGAAAAAAAACTTCAAATCCAAATTCTTCCTATCCTCATTCTTCGCTATTTCTTTTTGAATGTTGATTAGATTAGATTAGCTTGCCTTAGTCTTTAATGATGCTCCTCTGTCCTGGGTGTTGATCTGGCAGTCAGGGAATTAGAACGGGATCCTTGATTATTTTTTTTCTACTTCTCTGAAAATCTTACTGCTGATTTTAAGCATCATGAGCCACTGTGGTGCAGTGGTTAGAGTGCAGTACTGCAGGCTACTTCTGCTGCCTGCTGGCTGCCTGCAATTTGGCAGTTCAAGTCTCACTGGCTCAAGGTTAACTCAGCCTTCCATCCTTCCAAGATGGGTAAAATGAGGACCCAGATTGTTGGGGACAATATGCTGACTCTGTAAACCACTTAGAGAGGGCTGTAAAGCTATGTAAAGTGGTATATAAATCTAAGTACTATTGCTATTGCTATCATTACAATTTGAGTCCTATTTTCAATTCTGTAGATTTACTTGATCCCTGAAATAATCCATGAGAATCAGGTCATTTTTTTATTTACAACCATTTAATTACGACAACCTTGGAAAAAATGACTTACAACCTGTACTTGCACTTATAACCATTGCACTATCCCAGCGGTCATGTAATCACAGTTCTGTATTTGGCAGATGGCTTGTATTTACTACTTGTTGCAGTATCCTCGGGTCACATGATTACAATTTGCCAATTTTCAGCCAAAAACATCCATTTGGGGAAGGTGGATTTGCTTAATAACCGTGTGATTCATTTAACAACCAAGTGATTTGCTTAAAAACCATCATAAAATTGTTGTAAAATTGGGTCCAACTTGACATACAACTAGTAATTTATGACAGAAATTTCAGTCCCAATTGTGGTTGAAACTAAAGAACTACCTGTACCATGCAATGCCCCTAATCAAGCAATGTTAGTAATGCATATATTTATAGCCATAGGCTTAATAGGGAGCTATTATTAGATAACTCATTCATGTTATTCATATGTAATACTTTACACTTTTTCTGGCAGGGTTGCATGGGACACGTCAAGAAGAAATGATTGATCATAGACTAACAGATAGAGAATGGGCCGAAGAATGGAAACACCTTGACCATGTAAGGAATGTCTGTATTCTGTTTTGTAGTATAGACATCACAAGTTTTAAACTTAATTTTAAGTTTAAAATTAATGAGAAATGCTTATTATCTTTGTCCATAGATTATGAAAATTTGCAGCCTAATCCTAAATATGCTTATAGATTGGAGTGGTCTTCATCTCTGTTACATTAGCACAAAGACAAGCAAAACCCATGAAGTTAGGAAACAGGATTCATAATGATGAACACATAATGATGAATCCCATTTCCTAACTTCATGGGTTTTGCTTGTCTTTGTGCTAATATAACAGAGATGAAGACCACTCCAATCTATAAACATATTTAGGATTAGGTTGCAAATTTTCATAATCTATATATATGAGAGAGAGAGAGAGAGAGAGAGAGAGAGAGAGAGAGAGAGAGAGAGAAGGAATGTTATTTATGGTTACAAGAAGAAAAGTGCCAATTTGAATGTCAACTATTTTGAACTCATTGAAGTGATGCTTGCCATTTTCACATGAGATATCATTGAAATTTTGCAAGATTTGGAAAGTTCACAATGACACGTTTAAAAAATTATTTGGAATGAGGTCTCCTTGGCAATCAGGTGAATGCTATTGTTGAATTGCCAATTCCTGAAACATTCATTAAGATGTCCAACTGGATCTAAAATAACTGGACTCAAATTGTCCCTTATCTTTAAAACTATTTCCTGAGCCATCCATAATAAATGAGCTCAGCAGTTTTCACAGGATTAGCATGAAAATAAATGTTTATAGCAGATGGGCATACAACCATTTAAATTGTTGAAGGTTCCTTCGAAAACCAGTAGTAAGCATAGTATCAGGATCTGCTGGAGAATTTCCAAAAATGTCAAACCTGGATACTGGGACTTCCTTTGCTTTCCTATTTAAAAATAAATGGTAATTAATATGCTTAAAGAAGAGTAGGCGCTTTATGTATAAGAGGTAGCCCTCCTACACATTCTTTGGAACTAAAATATCAGGGTGTTCACAGGCTGAGTGCTTTATTTCCTTTGCACACCTGATTAGAAAAATAGAAATTGGAAATAGAACTTTTAAGACAGCATTGGGAGGAAGGAGAGTCAGAGCATATGGCAATAGCTGTCTGGCACCTTCATCCTTCATCTCTGCCTTGTGTGTCCCTCCTACACCTTCTCAACATTTCAGACATTGTCCCCACTGCAGAAAAAGTTGGAACTCCAAGCTAACTTCACCATTGAGCCCTGTATAGTAGAAGCTATAACAGATGCAGTGCTTCTGGAACAGCAGTAGCAGCCACTTCTCTCACCTGTCCTCGCTCCACCCCCAGTAAATATTGCTAATGGCCCTTCTGAATGGGAAATGACTTGGACTAACGGTTGGACGTGCTCTGTGCTGGCTGACCACCAGATTAAATTGGCTAAAATCCACTGCACTGCTTTATTAATGTCAGGTTGGATACCGTGTTCCGGATACTCAAACATAATCAGCTACCCAGACAGAGTGGAACTGTGAGCCAGCTTAGTTCTCATTCAATGGCACCACAGTTCACCTAGAAAGTACAGTCTGTTTGTGTGGCAGTCAGTAGTGAAACTTAAGTAGCATGTCCTACTGGGAAAACATGACAGCAGTAGATGGTGGGAGTCTATTTGGCACTTTTATGCAGGGAACCACTGAAGTGTGACCCTGCTCTATGGTATCTGGGTCTCATGGGCAGAATATTATGGGCAGTATTCCAGTATTTCAGAATTTGAGAGGTTGGCACAAAGAGGAGGAGGTCAACTTATTCTTCAAAGCACCAGAAAGCAGGACAAGAAACAATGGATGGAAGCTAATCATAGAGAGAGAAGCAACCTGGAATTAGGGAGAAACTTCCTAACAATGAGAACAATTAACCAGTGGAAAAACTTGCCATCAGAAGTTCTGGGTGCTTCATCACTGGAAGTTTTTAAGAAGAGGCTGGGCTGTCACTTGTCTGAAATGGTATAGGGTCTCCTGCTTGAGCAGAGGGGTTAGACTAGAAGACCTCGAAGGTCCCTTCCAGCTCTATTCTGATTGATATACATCAAATAAACATTAACTTTTCATTATTCCCTTCCCCTTTTTGACATCTAGCTCTTAAATTGCATCATGGACATGGTAGAAAAAACAAGGCGATCTCTCACTGTGCTACGGCGATGTCAAGAAGCTGACCGGGAAGAACTTAATTACTGGATACGGCGGTACAGCGATGCAGAGGATTTAAAAAAAGGCAACGGTAGCAATCATTCTAGGCAGCAGAGTCCAGTGAACCCGGATCCCATCCCTTTAGGTATGGTGTCTTTAAACAATTCAGAAACAACTTTGAACACTTTTATATTGATGTGCTTATGAACTTGCATCTGTCTTCTTTTTTAATCTCGGTCATTTTTTTTAATTACAGTTTTGTGGCTATCTAAAACAGTTGCCTTTATTTAAAATCACACATTAAAAAGAAGGTGGAGGATTATCGAAATACGATATTTAGCTCTATGCATTCACTTGGATTAGGCTGTAGCAGGGGTGGGTTCTAAATTTTTTTACTACCGGTTCTGTGGGCTTGGCTTATTTTGTGGGCGTGGCTTGATGGTCATGTGACAATTCTTTAGGATTTAGCAGAGGTACTGATCTACCAGGCTTTTAACTGCTTACAGAGCTGTACCGATCTACCCATTTATTTTTTGCAGGCACTGGTCTACCCATTTATTTTTGCAGGCAATGATCTACTCATGTATTTTTGCAGGCACCGGTCTACTCATTTGTTTTCTTTTACCACTGATCAGCTGTAGGGCGGCCCTTTGAAGCCCTGCGGCAAGAGTTTAAACAGTTTTTTTTCCCTTTAGCCATCAGCTGGGACTCAGGAGGCAGCAATAGATTGGGGGTGGGGCCAAATAAAAGGTAAGAATAACACAGGGGGTGGGGAGGGCAGAACCAATTCGGTGACATCATATTGTCACCGCTACCGGCTCAAGAGAACCGGGCCAAACCGGGAGAACCCACCACTGGGCTGTAAGGATTCTGTTTATTGGGGTAGAAAACGAAAAGGGCTAGCAAATCATTATAAATTGATACATGAAGGAACTGTTCTGATCCAACATTGGTATCTCTTGAAAATACAGAATATTAAAACCCTTTCAAGCACGTGCCTTTCATTCGCAGCTTCTCTTTTAAACACGGTCTGATAATAATGAATTAGAATTAGATTGTCTTACAAATTATAGAATTTAATAAAAGGAGAATAATAACATGGCAGTGTGTTGTTAGTTCCTAAGGAAAATAGTCAACAATTGATGAGTTGCCTGTAAGGCAAGATAAGAACTACATCAACATAGGTGCTGTCCCACACTTACAGCATGTTTTTTAAAAATATTGTATCACAAAGAACAAACACTGCATTTTTCTGTATGTTGTAAATGTCACAAATCCCCTTTGTCATTTTTAATGAACTAAACCACCCAGTAAAAATTACCAGCTTGTCATCTCCAGTAGCTATGGATGGAGGAAAAGAGGGCCATCTGTTATGCCTTTGTGTCTCCCCCTCCCCCCTTTATGATTTATATCAGTACCCATTCTGTAGATCAGTTTCAATTATAGCTATAATCTATCCTTTCTCGCAAGTTTATAATAATGGCTTTAATCCAGAATTCTCTGCAACCTTTGCACCAGGTGAAATAGCAAGCACACATATGCTAGTTGCTACTCCGGCTTATGACCTTTCTAATAATAAGAAATGGTGTGAGATAAGGTACCGTAGCAGATGCATGCCGAATTGTGGGCATCTACAGTTAAAAGTAATTTATTAGTGTTGAGATATACAGTATCTCTGCTTGAGACCTTGGAGAATTGTGGTTGAAAGAAATAGCATTAGCACAGACTCGCAGGGTCACAAAAACACCCTGCTTTATTGATTTATTAGTTTTCTATCCTGTTGCAGCGATAAGAATCAATAATTGTAGTGTTATTTGTATTATTTTTTCTTACATTTAAATTTATATACGCTGAACCACTTTCTTGAAATTTCTATACACTATTTATAGTTGCATGTTTTATTTACTTATTTATTTATATCTGGCCTTTATTTTTTAAAAAAATACTCAAGGCAGTGAACATACTGAATATCTATTATTATTACCCACAACACTGTGTGATGGGTTGGGCTGGGAGGAAATGCCTGGCCAAAAGTCACCCATCTGGCTTTCATGTCTAAAGTAGGACTAGAACTCAGTTTCCTGGTTTCTAGACCAACAAGTTAAACACTACACCAAACTGGCTTATACTCTTAGTGTAAACTATTTGTAATAAATAAATATTTAAATATTTGTTTGGAAGATGAGTAAAATTGCTTTACTCCTGAATAATCCATATATACCGTATTTTTCGGAGTATAAGACGCACCTTTTTCCCCCTAAAAAGAGGGTGAAAATCTGGGTGCGTCTTATACTCCAAATGTCGCCCTGCCCAGCTTCTCAAACGGACATTTCAGAGGCTTAAAAAAGCATCAGAAACAAAGCTTCAGAAAAGAAGCCCCCAAACAGCTTCAGAGGCTTTTTTTTTTTTGAAGCTCTGTTTCGGAGGCTTTCAGAGTCAGGAAAAAGGTTTTTTTGAAACGAAATTTCAGAAGTTTCAAAGAAAGAAAAAAAATGCAAGGCACAGAGCTCACAACCAAGGAACCTGTTGCTAAAATTCACCTCTGGGAACAGCTGATTGGGGATATTCCAGGAGGCTATCCACCCGCCAATCAGCTTTTTTCTTATTTTCCTCCCCAAAAACTAAGGTGCGTCTTATACTCCAGTGCATCTTATACTCCGAAAAATACGGTATATATATAGAAATATCAGGCAAGCTTCATATTATTTATCCACTTGATAGAATGATAGATTGTTTTCCCTACTCTATGAATTTCTGTTGAAGAAGCCGATTTACTTGCTCAAGGACAGCTTGAGTTACCTTTTGTGATTAAGAAAAGAACGGGATACTTTTTGTGATTAAGGAAGTTCTTCATTTATATTATTTTCTAGACCTGTGAACAAATGCTAGATTGGTGTATTTTAGGCCTAATTTCGTTAAAGACTACATAAGAATGAAAACACAACACATGTAGGAAGGAGGTAGATTTCCAGGAGGAAGGGGGTGCATTCCAGAGGTATAAGACACAACTTAGTCTAGATATCATGTGGGAGGGAAAAGGGTGACCCAATAATTCACAGAGTATATTGTAGATGCAGACAGTAGAGTTCTCGGTCTGCCAGGATTTTGTCTATATGTGAAACAATAAAGAACTCAGCTGGGAAGAAAACAGCAAGACTCTTCGTTGGTTTGGGGCCTGACGTGCAGTTTGTTGAGGTGGCTTGCTTCTATGTCAGATCTATCTCAATTTCGTTTGTTGACATTTTTCACAAAGCAAGCCTCATCAGTGTCCGAATGTGATCTTTAGATAAGAGAGAGACAGTGCAGTTCCTTAGCTAACCTTACCCCAAATCCAGGGGTGGGATTGAAAAAATTCAGCAACCCTGCCCGGTTGCTGGGTGGGTGTGGCTATGGGGCATGGCCTACTCAGCCTCCTGCACCATGGGGGGGGGCATTTTTGCCCTCCCCAGGTCCAGAGGCTTTCCTGGAGCCTCCAGGAGGGCAAAAATGGCCTCCCCCGGGCACCGGAGGCCGGGAATGGACCCGTTTCTGGACTTCTGGTACCTCTGGTAGGCCCGTTTTTCACCCTCCCCAGGCTTCGGAGGCTTTCCTAGAGCCTCCAGGAGGTAGAAAATGGCCTCCCCCGGGCACTGGAGGCCCTCCGGAGGCCAGAAACAGACCCGTTTCTGGACTTCTGGTAGGCCCGTTTTTTGCCCTCCCAGAGCCTCCATGCGCGCCCTGCATTTACCTGGCATCCAAAATGGGTCTCATGGAAACTCCTGGGACGGCCGGGGTGGGGTGGGCGGGGTCAGCCAGTCCTTGGAACAACCAGTTCATCGAACCAAATTAAAATTAACATCCGGTTCTCCCGAACCAGTCCGAACCAGCTGAATCCCACTCCTGCCCAAATCCCAAAGGTGCTTTTTCAAGAGGCAACTGGACTTCCTGGATTTTTCTTTGAAGACGTTTCGCTGCTTATCCAAAAAGCTCCTTTAGCTCTGAAGCTTCTTCAGCTTCTTGGATGAGAAGTGAAACGTCTTCAAAGAAAAATTAGAAAGTCCAGTTACCTCTTCAAAAAAGCACCTTTGGGAAAACCATGACCTGGATGACTGAGAATCTCTATAGATACTTACCCCGAATGCCATTTTGTATGTTGCAAGACTGCTGAGTTTTCTTGTCTCTTACTTTACAAGGTGAGATAGACCAAGTACAAAATTTAAATGAGAAATCAAGTTCTAGCTGCATTTTTTACTATTATTCAAAGAATTCCCCCATTACTTCCATCCTACCCCAATGTAATAATTTCCTAATAATAGTTATGCAAATATGAATAGAGATGTACTTTTTCTGTGAAAAAGCTCAAGGAATTGGGATAAATATAATGAGTTAGAGATTTTTTTTATCAAACCGTTAGTTTGTTTTAGCTGTCAACCTGCATTTTCTTTTTTCATGCTTACAACATTGGTGATTTCTGTTGCATCGAATTCCCATATGATTTGCTAAATTCCAAAGTGCTTCTTACTAACAGGATTATAGACTTTCCTGTTCTTGAGGTTGATTAAGCTGCTTTATATTATTTTGACAATAGGACATGTCATCTTAATTTGTAAGGATCTTGTGAACTGAGTAAAATAATTGGTTAATGGTATTCATTGCATACGGTATGCCAAATCCATTGCAGTTTGGGGCATATTTCATTTTGCTGTTATGTTTTTCTGTTTTCTTACAGCTATGAACAAATATATATTGGTCTAGTAGTTAGAAAAAAAATCAGTGAGTTCTTGTGATTAATCTATTGTCACTTGAAAAGTAAAACATTAATATCCAAGTGATGCTTTTACTGGGTTTTTTTTTTTTTTTTTTTTTGATAAAAGCTACATCTCAGGTATAGAAGGATTTGTCAATGTTGTTTCAAAGCCACTTCCTATTTTCAGGAAATAGAATAGAAGCAAATTTTACACCAGTCAATCAATGTTGATATTGGACAAATTTCTAAAACAGAACATTAATTAGCTAGCTCACATCTAGAAAAAGATAATTGATTATAAGATACAAGCTCTGTTTATAAGAATTAGTCAACTGTAATCTCTTTTGATAGAATCAGTGTTGATTATAAACAAGCATTTGACAGAATCTCTGTGAAATTATTTTGGGCAGAGTGGTAAA